GGCTGATGGAGATCTTCATGTCTGATCTGTGGTGTATTTGGGCTGATGGAGATCTTCATGTCTGATCTGTGGGTCAGTGTGTGGCACTCATGAACACTTCAGAAGATTTTGTGATGAATGAAGACCTGTGACTCCTCCGTGAACTCCCCGAGGTTAGAGATCTGTGTGTGTGTTCATTAAATTTACTCCCTACACCTGGAGAACTCAATAACCCGATCCTCTATCTCTCCACCCTCCTCTCTCTCTCATAAAATGGCTTTCATTATGCCTTGTACAGTATACGCTTCAGTTATTCTACATCCAATATATAACCATATGTCATGGTGTGTGTTTCATGCTGTTAGCACAACCTTGTGTGTATTTGTGTGAACAAATGTCTCTATGGAGAACAAAACACTTTTGTCAATATTCACGACTGAATCTTCGGTCTGAAATGGCATGTAAGTGTGAGTAAGTTCATATTTGTTTAAATATGTATGTGCACTCACTGGCCACTTTATTAGGTACATGTTACTAGTACCGGGTTGTTCCCCCTTTTGCCTTCAGATCTGCTTTAATACTTCATGGCAGAGATTCAACAAGCTACTGGAAATATTCCTCAGAGATTTTGCTCCATATTGACATGATAGCATCACACAGTTGCTGCAGATTTGTCGGCTGCACATCCATGATGCCAATCTCCCGTTCCACCACATCCCAAAGCTGCTCTATTGGATTGAGATCTGGTGACTGGGGAGGCCATTTGAGTACAGAGAACTCATCGTCATGTTTAAGAAGAAGGATTGAGAGATTTGCCGTTGAGTTGACTGGTTTAAAGGGGTAGTTCATGCAACAATGGAAGTTTCTCACTGTTTGCACATCCTCAAGGGGTTAAAGATCTCTATTAGGGCATATGTTTGTGTGTGTGTGTGAGTGTGTGTATGCCTGTGTGTGTGTTTGTCTGTGTGAGAATGTGCATGTTATTGTGTGTGCATGGCTGCATATGTGTGCGTTGGTTTAAATGTTGTGTGTGTGTGTGTGTGTGTGTGTGTGTGTGTGTGTGTGTGTGTGTGTGTGTGTGTGTGTGTGTGTGATTTTCTTTTGTGATGGTGTATCTGTGTTTGTGGGTGTGTTTGTGTTAGAATGTGAGTTTGATTGTGCGTGTGCATGATTGCATATGTGTGCGTTTGTTTACATGTCTGTGTGATTGTGTTTGTGTGTGTGTGTGTGTGTGTGTGTGCATGTTTGTGTGTGTAAGATTGTGTGTGATTTTCTTTTGTGTGCATACGCGTGTGTTGTGCGTGTTCTTGTGTGTGTGTGTGTCTGTGTGTGTGTGTGTGTGTGTGTGTGTCTTGTCTCAGGTTTCGGTGTGACCTTGCCGCTTGTCATCAGTGATCTGCAGTGTTTGTTTCTTCAGTGTGATTGAGTAGCCAGACTGAAGCTGAAGTGTGTGTGTGTGTGTGTGTGTGTGTGTGTGTGTGTGTGTGTGTGTGTGTGTGTGTGTGTGTGTGTGTGTGTGTGAATATCGTCATGCTGAAGCTCCACTACACTCCTGCGTCTCATCAGTGTGTTTCCCGCAGTGTCTGCTGTATTTATTATACATTTACTTGTAAGTGATTGACTGTGTGTATTAATCGGAGTTGGAGCGGTGTGCGTTTAGTGTCTGCTGTGTGTGTGTGTTATGATCATCAGAGCTGCTGCTGGTGTGTGTTTCAGTCAAGGTAAACTCATCTACTCATTCTAAACCCAGACAATACATTATTATAAGCACTGATTGCCTTTTCTCTTGGTTGTGTTCTTAATTATCCTCATGAATAATCCACAGTGACTGTAAACATATACAAACAAAAGCTTGATTCTTTAAATTTGTTAGTTAACTTTTAAACAAACTCACTGTGCATCAGTCAAACTGACTAAATGTATTCATTTAAACATTTGTTGTCATGATTTTTGTCGTTTGATATATTTACGGTGTATATTATGGCCTGTGTTACAGTACGGTACGGGTCGGTACTAGTCACCTTTATCAGGTTTGCATTTCCACTGCTAAAAGGGTACCACTGGTGGGCGTGTTGTACGACAGAAAATTTCAGTCCACGTCATTCTCACTGGAGGAAATGTCTACAGTAAAGCTGTACAGGTCATTCTAATATCATATGAGAAGCACTTCTCACAACACAGATGCTTTACACACATCAATACTGTATAAATGTTCATTGCTAACCTCATACAAATATTACTTTTTTTTTGCAACGAGAAATGTAACAATTTTAAAATAAATTTATTAAAGGTAAAGCAAAAGAAAGACAAAGAGAGAGAAAAAGAAACAAAACATAAGGGCACATGACAAAAAAAACAAACAAATTATTATTATAATTATAAGAATATTATAAGAATATTAAATAAAGCACACGTTTTATAAGTTTTAATTGCTTTCTTGCTGTAAGAGTCTGTGATGGTTTTAAAATACAGTACCAATTCTTGTTTAAAGAATGTAAAAAAGTTTGGCTTACATTTACGTATATTTCCATTAGTGTATAAAAAACATATTAACAAATAAAATGAGGTTTATCAAAGTGAAAGTCAGCTTTATTGTCAATTCAACCACATGTACAGGACATATACTGTAGAGAATCGAAATTACGTGACTCTCAGACCCTAGGTGCCTAACATATAATGTTAATACAAAAAGTAGCTTTTAAGAAGGAATTTACAATAAATACAATTATACATAACATGTAATCTAAATATATTCCTACAATTTAGTCCAAATATATACATAAACTGTAATCTAAAGAATAATAAAATAAAGAAAGAATCAAAATTGTACTCAATGCAATGCAATACAATATGAAAATATTAAGGGCATATGGAAATGAGTGCAACCCAGAGTTGTGCAGATAGAACTGTATATAGTGCAAAAAGGCTGGTAAAGATGAGAATTATGATAAAGCGACAGTGTCATGATGTATAGGGAGGTAGTCTAATGTTCAAATGTTCAATAAAGTGACCAGTGCAGGTGTAAGTGTGTATGTGTGTGTGTTGACATATGAAACATTGAACATTTTATGAATTTTAAATTAATTAAGGAATTGTTTTTCTTTAATATAAAACCCCAAAGCAACATGTCTATGGCTTATATATAAGAAAAGCACCACAAACCTTTGGGAAAAGTAGAGAATTAACATCAGACCAGAAAGATTTATCAAAAGCACGTTCCTTTTGGGACACACTTTTGTTGTGCTTGGTAAAGTGGTATGGTTCGCTTTTAGGTACCTGTTGACAGTGGAAAAGGCCATAAAAGCATACAGAACCATACGGTGACAGTGCTGCTGACAGGAAATCTGCCTTAAACATTTCATCTAAGCTTAAATATTAAGAAGGAATCCATACAAAATATATGAACTACATTGGGTGTGTGTGCACATGTGTGAGACATTCGTTTTCCTTCGGCTTAGTCCTTTTATTCATCAGTGGTCGCCACAGTGGAATGAACCACCAACTATTCCAGCATATGCTTTACACAGTGGATGCCCTTCCAGCTGCAACCCAGTAGTGGGAAACACCCATACACTCTCACGTTCGTGTGATTGTAAGAAAGTGCCTGTTGCAAGTGTTGGTTAAAGTGTGAGACAGATGAAGGAGTGTGTTTTCTACAGGTGGTCTGTCAAGCCCACTCACCTGTGTGAGGCACACTCAGAATGGCAGAATTATAAGGGGATGTTGTGGTTGTCACACACACGCACTCAATATTACACTACACGGACACCACACACAAACACACACATTTGAAAGTGTCTCCTGAAAGTGTGTGCGGTGGCGATGGGTGCTGGCGACAGCAGTCTGTCTCAGAGACTCATGGGTATTTCTGATAATCTTGTCAAGGCCGAGAGCATCTGTGGATTTATCTCTCTGGCAGCTGTGATATCAGAGCGGGACGAGCTGTTCCCCACACACACACACACACACACACACACACATACATTAATATGCACATTCAGACACTAATGCACACATTCTCACACACACACACACACACACACACACACACACACACACACACACACGTTTTCTCACACACACTCACTAATGCACTAATACGCACATTCACACACACACACACACACTCACTAATACGCACATTCTCTCACACACACACACACACACACACACACACACACACACACACACACACACACACACACACACACACACAAACTAATACACACATTCTCATGCTCACAGACATACATGCACACATTCTCACTTTACGTACACTAATACACACATTTTCTCACAAACACATTTGCGAACACACACAGACACAAACACACACACACACACACACACACACAAACGCACATTAATATGCGCATTCAGACACTAGTACACACATTCTCTCTCTCACACACACACACACTCACACACTATTAGACACACACACACACACACACACAAATACACTAATACACACATTAATACACTTTTTTTCTTTACACACACACACACACACACACACACATTAATGCATTATAAATAAAAAAATTAATTAATTAATGTATTTAAAATAAAATACACCAATCGACACGGTATCTCAGTGGTTAGCAGTTGTCGTCTCAAAGCAAGAAGGTCTTTGGTTCAAGTCCCGGCTGGGTCAGTTGGTGTTTCTGTGTGGAGTTTGCATGTTCTCCCCGTGTTGGTGTGGGTTTCCTCTGGGTGCTCCGGTTTCCCCCACAGTCCAAACACATGCGCTATAGGGGAACTGATGAAAAAAATTGATCGTAGTGTGTGTGTATATGAATGAGTGTGTATGGGTGTTTCCCATTACTGGGTTGCAGCTGGAAGGGCACACACACTCAACACTACAGTCATATCGGTAGTTTTAGACTAGTCAGAGTCAACTAGAACATCTTTTATCTTTGACCTGTAATCAGACCTCCGTGTTTATCAGTTTGTCTGTAAGATCACAGCCTTGGCCTTGATCATGAGGATGTAAATAAGATGAATGTGTGTGTTAACAGCGAACGTGCTGGACACCATGTTACAGAGGAGTTCTGGAAAGGTAACGGCGGGCCGGAAGGAGACCAACGGCGGCAGCGCAACTTCTGTGATTCCAGAGAGGATGTTATTATGCCACTGTTACCATCACTGTCCTGAAGATTCAACCAATAATACCTGCAGGTACAACACACACAATTGCATATATATTATATTATATTATATTATATTATATTATATTATATTATATTATATTATATTATATTATTATATTATATTATATTATATTATATTATATTATATTATATTATTATATTATATTATATTATATTATATTATATTATATTATATTATTATATTATATTATATTATATTATATTATATTATATTATTATATAATTTTTATTATATTATATTATCTTATATTATGCCATGTCATGTCATATCTTGTATCCTATCATATCCTTTCATATAATATATTGTATCGTATCCCATGATATGATATGATATGATATCAATCCATATCGTATCAAATCGTATCGTATCGTAACATATATTACATATCATATTGTATCATGTATCGTATCGCTTCACATCACATTACATCATATCATATCTTCACCTATCCTGTCCTATCGTATCACATCGTATCGTATCGTGTAATATCATTAAATATTCTAGTATATCATATCATATCATATCATATCATATATCTTATATCCTATCGTATCACATCGTATCATTTCATGCAATGTATCGTATCGTATCATATATCATATCATATTGTATCGTATCATATCAAATGGTATCGTAACATTTATCATATCATATTACATATCATATGTCATATTGTATCATATATCGTATCCTATCATATCACATCAAATCATATCACATCCTATCATATCCTCACCTATCCTGTCCTGTCGTATCACATAACATCCTATCCTATCATATCATACAATATCGTATCAGATAATTTCATATCATATCATATCTTGTATCCTATCGTATCATTTTATATAACATATTGTATCGTATCCTATCTTATTGTATTGTATTGTATCGTATTGTATCATATCAAATTGTATAATAACATATATCATATAATATATATCA